TAATTTTTTTGTATAACCTGCAAACAATTAAAATTCATTGCTTAAGGTAAATAAAATATGAAGACAAAAATAAAGTATTCCAATGCCAAATAGAGAGAATAAAGAAGAGATACAAAACCAGTAACGAAAGGGGATTATGCTTCAAACTGAATAATGCTACTGGAAACGAACTTTGGGATTTTCTCGAAGATCTGCAGCGTATACGGAGAGCTGCTAGTGATGCATAGGTATTGAGATTTTCCATTAATTTGCTTACTTTTCATTAAAGGATTGCAATTAAGTGAATGTATTTTTTTAAGGGTTAATACCTCATATGGTCACTCAACTATCCACTTTTGCCTTAGAAAGTCACTCAACTTTTAATTTTCACTAAAAAGTCACCATGTGAGTGACTTTCTGAGGAAAGACTGGATAGTTGAGTGACCATCTGAGTTATTAACCCATTTTTTAAATAAAATTTTGTAACCAGTTTTTCCATAATTAAGCACACTAATTATGGAGAATCAAATGAGAGTTAAAACATGGTATAAAAGATGCAATTTAAAACGGGTAAAACTGATAGCCTTTTGAGATTCTTTATTTTTAGGAAGTTATAATTGATCATTAATTAATAATTAATAATTGTGTAAAAAATTAGGGAAAAATGCCTAAATTCTAAGAAAATAGATAATAGCCTTTTCTGATCATTGATGCATGCCACATCAACGGGATGAAGATCCAGCTTTATATATATATAGATTTGTCAAACACTTCCAGAAGTAAAAAACTGACTTAAAAGTAGGTTTGACTAACTTTTAAGTCAATCCAAACACCCTCTTAGTTAGATATAGGAGTGTTTTTAAGACTTGTTAATAGTTCGAGGATGAAACTAATAATTCGCGTCGAATTTAGAGTGTTTTCAATGCTGATGTATTTTATTTTATATTAATATGAGAAGTAGTGCTAGTATTATTATTTTTTGTATAGTTTGTGAATAAATAAATTTAAAATATTAAATTAGTCTGATTCAATTTAATTTTGAAGATTAATTAAATTGTCTTCGGTGAAGTGAAACATAACACATAAAAATGAACATAAATACTAGCACTTCCTCTATTTCAATTAAGCGTATTACTTTTCATTTTAATAGTCTAAAAAAATATTATTATTTTTTCTATATATAATTAGTCTTTCAATTTCGATGATACATTTAGGGTATGTTTGGAAAGTCATCAGGGAATTGAAATTTGTGTAATTACTAAGGTAGTAATTATCAGTCTAATAATTACACAGCCTAGTAATTACGCTTACATGTTTGTTTGCCATAGTGTAATTACATTGTTATTACAAGTGTATTGTTTGGTTGCACAAGTGTAATCATGAGGTTATATTGAATTTTAAAAATAAAAATTAATTATTTAAAATTAAAAATTTATATTAGACAAATAAGGGTCGTTATAAATAATATTAAATTAAATATTTAAGATATATATTGTCTCATGAAAATATATTAATTAATAAACATATGTTTTTAACTAATATTATAAAAAATAATTGATTTATATTTTTCAATTTAATATATTTTAATTAAATTAATCATAAAAACTAAAAGTACATTATTTCTATGAACATCATGAAATACATGTTTGACAAAAAGATTAATATTATAAATATAATATCATAAAATTATAAAACATTTGACAAAAAGATACTATATCAAGTCTAACTTAAAAAATAGCTTGTAATGTAATCAATACTCCTAAAACAAATGAAATTGAAAATATAACATAAGTTCACAATTCAAAACAAAAAATTTAACATAATACTCTTATGTCACATTTCAACATAAAATACATAAATATGATTTAAAAGAAAAGAAAAACGTAAGTTCATAACTTTATTCAACAATGAATTCTACTTTATTTTATAAATTAGAAACTAACAAAATTATACTAATGATTTATTTAGAAGATACAAAAAATTGCATGGAATCACATGAAGTAAAGGTTGAGAATAAGAAGGAAATGATATATAAATGATATTAAAAAAAAAAAAATATTTTAAAATATTAGAATAATAAATCAAAACAATTTAAAATAATAAAATTAATACATTAAAACGAAAAAAATTAAAGCAAAAATAAAAGAAAGAAAACAAATAAACATCTTATAATTACACCATGTAATTACCAGCAATTCACAGTCTTCCCTTGTGAATTGGAGAGTGTATTTACACACTGCTAATTACACCCAATTACATGTTGACCAGGTAATTACATGTCCAACTAAACAGGATAGACAGTGTACTTACATCAAATCCAACTACTAGGGTGGGCTTTTCAAACAAGCCCTTAAAGAACTATGAATAATTTTAATATAAAATCAGAGTCAATAATCAATATAATATCTCCTTGATTTAAAAATGTCGAGATTCATTTTTGATACTTTTTTTATTATAATATATTGATTTAAGTCATCAACAATCACTTAAAGTTATCCTCATTAGTCACTTAGACACTTTAACTAAAACTATTACATATTAGACACTTTAATATTAAATAAATATGTATCTATTGAACATAAAATGGAAACTAACTTTAAAAATAATGTGCATGGGATTCACACATTGTGTCTTGAAAAAGTCACAAATAAAATTATGACATGTGGCATGTCGATCCAATCCAATCATAAAAAATGAATTTTCAATTTTAAGAAATAAAAAACAATTTCAACCATTAATAATTCAAAATGTTAGTCAACTAAAAGAAGAAGAAAAAAATTGCCCCCTCCCCAAACCCAACCCAGCTAACCCTTTGGTCTTTCTTCTTTCCCCGGCTCACGATTGTCACCCGTTCTCAACTCCACCAGCAAGATCCATTTTTTTTTCTTCTTATTATAAACTATGGGATTAAGCATAATATAAACAGTGAAATTAACAGAGGCGTATGTAGGAGAGGATCACCGGATTTACGTGATTCCATGCTTCCCTCCTGAAATCATATATAGTAGTATTATATTTTAATTTTTTTAATTAAATATAGATGTATGAACCCGCAATCGAAGTATCATATAATGCAATGATGATTGGGTTTACCTCTCAGTAAGATTTGAAATTTGAATTTTATATTTATCTTGTATTTTTTTTCTTTCTAAAATTAGGTAACGCCTCTCAAAGTGGTTATTTGTAGCACTTTTGATGTTTTAATTAATTAATCATTTCAATTTTGGACCTATAAATTTAAAAGTTTAACCGTTGTCAATGATACAAACTAAATGTCAAACCGATTAGATCCACCTTTTCATAACAGTGCACACATCATTCCGAAATCCTGAATACGCCTCTGGTGAAATATTATGACGTATGTGTAGCTTAGCGGAGCGACGTTTGTGGAAAATAAATTAATGTTAGTGAACGACGGCCAAGAGAAATCGAGAGTAGTCAAGTTATTTCTGTAGAATTCTCGAATATCACTTTAATAAATTTAATGGGTTTACATTTTAATTTGAGTGGTGATGTTTCCTTAAAATGATCGGAAATAGGAAACGGATGGCCCAACTCTTTAAACTCCAATATCGAAATCTTCTTTCTTCTTACAAAGTTAATTCGTAGATTCAGTTTTTCTTAATATGAATGGGAAAAAAAACAGAAGTTTGAGAATGGAAAATGGAGGATTTTTTTGGTGTTCAATAGGTACTAGTTTTGATTGGGGTGTCTAAATGAATTATGCTGACAATTTTAAGCGGCCGTGGATGACTTCAGCCTAATATATTTGTTTGATTTGGCATGTGTGTTGGTGTCACACTCATCTATTCTATAGTTCAAGTAGGAGTCTATCCTTAACAATGTACCGTGCTTCGATTGTTACTTTTGTCTGTGTGTGTCCGAATGGAACCTGTGTTAGCATCTTAGGAAGTTTGGAATGAAGTTTTTTAAAAATGAATTTAAGACATGTAGAATATGCAAAATATTTTTTTAAATCTTGTGTTATTAAATATGTAATTATATTTCAGAACAAAAAATATTACTGAATATAAAAAATAACTCAAAACAGCATGTATATACAAAGTATACCAGACTTTGAATTGCTTTCACAATACCTGTCATTGTATTAAGGACATAGTTTGACTTGAACAGGCACACACAAATATAAGTATTCGATCGAGAACCGAGTCAATGAAGTGAATGGAAATTATGAAAGATCTGAGTGCAAATTATATCAGAAACAAGAAAATACTAAGTGATTTTTTCATCCGTTCAAACCTTAATCGATGCAGTTATTTAGTAACATGTACTCATTGAAATAGTTGAAATACATACAAGTTGATTTGACCACATCGTTATCAAGAGAGAAACAGAATTTGACTAACATCAGAAGTTCTTATAACTGTCATCTTCTAAAACTGGTAAAACACAATATCACTACATGAAAGAACCTAAAATTTGATAAATTTAATAGCAATATCTTTCACAACCCTATATGTGCTTTTGAAGATACTTCAAATGTATCTAGAGCCTGATTTGATTGACTTATTTTAGGTGTTTTTAAGTCAAATTAATAAATTAAAATTCATAACTTTTGACTTTTGACGTATAAACTATAAGCCCATCCAAACAAGCTCCTAACCGTCATTAAGTTTCATAAGAGGAGCATTTTGTAAAATGTCAATATCAAACAATAACTCCGTGCATTTCAAAGCATGACGGACCAGGTTAAACTGAGCTTGATGTGGAGATAGGTTTTTGATCGTGAGCTAAGTGTCTCATGTTACGACTCATTTCAGATCATAAGGTCGAGCTTCAACCGAACAATTTTTCTCTCTCTCTCTTCCCCAGATGAAATGACTATTGCAAAGCCAAAAGTCCTACGAGCTTCATTCCGAATGGTAGATTATATGAGAGCAAAGCAAAGAGACAATAATGGAGAGCTCATTAGGCCCGCCATTTTCTCAATCGAAAATGAAAATTAGCTTCCTGAACGACAACCATTCAACGGGATTTCACATTCACTATAAGTAGAAGAATCAAATGAAGAAGAACTCATATAAATATAAATACTTCATCTGTTACACTCTATAATGCAAATATGGCAAATAACTATTGTAAGCAATCACAACATAAATAAATCCCAAAACAGCCTAAAATGGCAAACAATAACCAAATGCTAGTCACAAAAACACCAAAATATCAGTTCAAGTTAACACGATTACCCCATAATTTGTATAGAACCAATTCAAGTATATAATGGCCAATCAGTCCATGCTCCAGAAACATGGCCATTCTCACAGACATAAGCTCGAACAACTGGTTCTCCATCATCATGGTACCCAAAATACCTCCTCAAACAGAAGGCTGAATGCAGATCCCACGTCTGTTTTGCTGAGCAAAACGCACAATTCAGATCGATCTTCTTCCTATTGCCATCATTAATCGTCCTCCATACCCTTGACTGCTTGAAATTCTTGAAAATCCCACGAAATAGCATGTAATTCCTCTTCTCCTCCATGTGAATACAACCAGGCCAATCACATATGTACAAACAATCCCCTTTGAATCTACTCGCTAGTAGCTTATTCCCCTGCTCACGGCTCAAATTCCATACCCCAGAAGCCAAATGTGAACAAGGCGATCTGTAAATTTTTCGCCTCTTCGCAAGCCTGAATTCAGCACAAAAAACAAATTGCTACCAATTAGTCTACAGAAATCAATACATACATCAACAACAACATACCCAGTGTAATCCCACAAATTAAGTGGAGTTTATGGAAGGTAGAATGCACGTAGACCTTACCACTACCTTAGAGGTAAAGAAGTTGTTTCCGATAGACCCTCAGCTCAAGTAAAATACAGTCCAAAGCAATATAGAGAAAAAATATAACTAAAATGAAGAAAGTCATGACAAAATACCATAGATAACATACAAATCATCCTAAACCAATAGTCATTACAAATAAAACATAATCGACGTGCAAACAAGGGTGTGACCTAGTGGTCAATGAAGTGGTTAAGAACCATAAGGTCTCAAGTTCAAAACTCAACAGAGACAAAAACACTAGGTGATTTTCCCATCTATCCTAGCCTTGGTAGACAGAGTTACCTGGTAACTGTTGCTAGTGGGAGGTGGCAAGTATCCTGACGGCTAACGGCATAAAAGAATACATGAAACAATGCTCAACTATCTAACTAACCTCCTACCCTTAGCAGTAAACAACGCTCAACTATCTAACTAACCTCCTACTCTTATCAGTATTCTGTCTGATTAAAAACGTTCAACTATCTAACTAACCTCCTACCCTTATCAGTATTCTGTCTAATCAATCTAAAGACTATCTAACTAACCTCCTGACCTTATCGGTATCCTCCGTAGCATCCTATCTAAGGTCATTTCCTTGGTAAGATGAAGCTCTGTCATTCAGTATTCTCCATTGCGTCCTATCAAAGGTCATTTCCATTCAGTATTCTCCCTAGCGTCCTATCAAAGGTCATTTCTTTGATAAGACGAAGCTATGTCATGTTCTGTCTAATCAATCTACGTCGACAGAGAGGTAGACACATTGTTTCCGAAAGCAAAAAACCAATACACATACATAATAACATGAAAACTACATAATGCAAACACATAAAACAGAGGATGTATGTAATTTTACCTTGTGGGGGTCACCACTAGATTTGAGGGTTCCTCCTCGACGACCTCAATCTGATTTGAAGTCGATTCAGAAGCATCATAAACAGTATCAAACATAAGATCATCAAACAAAGACCAACCACTATCAGCAACTTCAGCAGAATCACTCCGATTATTATTATTACTCGATGAAGAAGGCATTAGCTGCGTCTGCAAACTATCAGATTTAGGCAAAACCCTACCCGAATAATTCTCATCCGGACCAAGTTCACGTTCAAGCCCAAAATCAGAATTCTCCAGAAGAACACCAGCTTGATGAAGACCCGGACAGCATACAGCTAGCTTGTAAAGCGAAGACCACCCACCTGGAGGACACGAAGACGTCGAAGAACTTACTAGATCGGAAACAACAGAAGGAATAGTTAAAGAGCATTTCGATTTGTAGCAAATAGTATGAATCAGAAATGCAAATTTCGTAGAAACACAAGATAAACGAGTCCAGTTCCTTGGATCATCTTCAAGCTTGAAAAATATATTGAGAACCAAATCCTCAGAAAGTTTTGAGAAAAACCCATCAACTATACATGAATTCGACATCGAAAAGATGTATAGAATCAAGATCTTTGCCCAATCCAATGGAATTAAACACCAAATTTATTAGCATCAACACTAGTAACAAACTCAAAGAATGAGAATTTGGTTTGTGATTTTGTGGGCAAAAGGGGAAAGCCTTTTTTGTAAGTTTGTAGAATGTGTGAGGATGGTTTTCAGTGCCTGGTTGTTAGTTGTTTTAACAAAGATTCCTTATATTATTACTTCTTCTTTTTTGGCAATATTAATTAATAGATTATACTATATACTTGGTCAGTGAGTTATGTGATTCTTTCAAAAATATTTTATGTATAGATTTTGGTAAGTGAGTAATGTGATTCATTTCTCACCTCAGGAATTTCAAAAGTATTTTTTTATATATATATATATATTTGGTAAGTGAGTTATGTGATTGTTTTCTCACCTCAGGATTTTCAAAAGTACAATTCTAGGAAATATTATACTATATTATATATGGTTTTTCAAAAGAAATTTAGGGCCCGTTTGGCCATGCGATATGGTATCATGATATAGAATCATGAGATGAAATTGAAGTTTTGTTTGGACATGTGATATGAAATTTTTGTGTTGTATATTTTCTCATAAACATAAAAATCTCATAAGTTATAAAACTATTAAAATAGTCTCAATTGTTTATTCAATCTTATCAAATAAACAAAAATTTATAAAATCGCATAATAAATTATTACAAAGCTATTTGTTCTCCACTTAAGTAATTGTTTCATCTAACTTTAATTAAATAAAAAAAATTGAACATAAATTGTAGTGTACTAGTCTTTAATATAATCCTCCCACATAGTACGGACGATTTTCTCACGTTGAACTTGCATTTCTCGATCATGTGACCGAGAAAACGAACCAACATTGTTACTTTGAGCCATTTGTTGGTCAATATCATCCGCAACTATATTTTCATGCTCATAGACCATAAATATTTCATCAGTACTTTGGTATTCTCACAAATAATTATGTAACAGTGCACAAGCTATGACAATTTTCACTTTGTGTATCAATATCATAATGTTCATGCCTTGTTTCAGTATTCTAAATCTATTTTTCCAAGCTCCAAAAGTTCGTTCAATCACATTGAGCAAAGATGAATGCCTATAATTAAACAGTTCTTTGGCATTTTGAGGCTCTCTTTCACTTCCTTGGTAATCTTGCAAATGATAGCATAGTCATTTGTATGGAGCTAAAAATCCTTTTGTGTTTTGGAAACCAACATCAACAACATAATATTTATCAACCAACAAACATTTTATAAAGAATTACTAAAAGCAAATGTGACGTAAATGAGACAACTTAATTTGTGTAAATAAATAATATTTATTCTAAGGATGTAATTTAAAGTTACCATGTGGCGGAAATGGAAATTGTGACTTTGGTTCAACAAGTGCATTCTCAAATACTTTATTATCATGTGCAGTACCTTCCCAACCAGCAGTAAAAAAGGTAAATCGCATATCAAAATTACAAGCACATAAGACATTTTGTGATGTTCTTCCTTCGCGATTACGATATGCTTGTTACACCGTTTTAGGAACCTCCCCTTCTATATATGTTCCATCAATTGCACCAACACAATCCTACCAAATAAAAAATACATCAATATTAGTTTAGTGAACATAAAATAAATTGGAAGCATTATAGAATGCACCTCATAAAAATAATATTTGTAAGAACAATAAAAATAATGCTTCCAAGACAATGCAAAGTCATAAAATAAATATTATCTCTTTAAACAATGTTGATAAGAAATATGTAACTAAATACTAATAACTTACACATTAAATATAAATGTGCACTTATTAAGGCCATAAAATAAATGTATTACTCAACAATCGGTTGGTGTGAGTTAAAGTGACTATATGTTGGTGAGAATAATAAATTTTATGTCGGTGAGAATAATAAATTTTAAAAAGTAATGATGTGATTATAAATTTCATTTACATATGAAATAAATGGTTAGTAGATATAAATGTGGGATTGTATTAACAAAATATAAACTCGTGGATCAATTTTTGTATTAAAATATCTCAAATCATGATATGAAATTCCCATATAATTCCATATCATGGTTTTTGAAGAATATGGAATCACATCTCACGATATGGTATCACATGGCCAAACGCCTACTTAGGTATCATGTTGACTTCAAATTGAAATTTTGCTTAAATGCCCTTTGAACTTTTGAAGAGACATAAGGGTATCTTTGGCATGAAAGGAAAATATTTTTGAGATACGTCGACTTTGCTTATTTTCAAAAATAATTTTCTTAATGGTAGTAGAAAAACAAATTCTATAAGTGAGACTCTTATCCTTCTCACCCACCTGACGCTCCAACCCCTAGTCCTTGACAATCCTACCCTGCCACCTCTCGAGGCCCCACTTCCTATTTCTACCGTTTACTAGATTATATCTAAATACTTTTCAGCTACTATTTTTTTAATTACTTATCAAATTCTAAAAAATAGATTAAAAATAGTCAAACACATATGTAGACCCTTAAACTAGTCACTAAATTTCATTTTGGCACTCCAACTCAATCTTATTCCATTTTAACCCTTCAACTCCAATTTTTATGTTCCATTTTGGCACTTATAAGTGATGTGACAGAGTGTATGCATCACACTTTCTCTAAAAAAGTGAAAGACATTAAACAATAAAAGATTATTGTAATTAGGGATATTTTTGAGCCTTTTCCGTTAAAAAAATAATAAAAGATTACCCTTCAACTCTATTTTTTTATTGTACCATTAAACACAAAATACTAATTTTATGATTTTGATATTTCTATATATGTTATTCAACTGCAATTTTGCATTTTAAAAATCGGCGTTCATCCGTTAGTTATTGTAAAAAATTAAAATTGACAGATGATCATTGATTTATTTATTTATTTTAAAAAGTAACAATTTCTTTTTAAGAGTTTCCCTATATTTTTACGTGAAAAATAACCGACGAAAGTGCGTCTTTTCTTTCTTAAGAAAATCAATGACAACCCAATGAAGTTTATCGAGTTTCAACATTTTTTTGTAGTGTTATAATTAGCAATGAACATGAGTTTTGTTTTACTCGTATTTAGTTGAATGAAAAATTAGAAAGCTGATATTTGAGTTAGTCTAAATTGACTAGATATGGGGGGAAAATGTGGTGTTATTTAATTTAATTAATTGTTTAAAAAGTAAAACCAACACTCTTTCGTCGATTATTTTTTCACACAATAATGTACAGAAACTGTAAAAAAAATATTATTTTTTTAAAAATGATGTTCATCCATTATTTAATTTTTTTAAAAAAAGGATATGACGTTGATTTTTAAAATGAAAAGGTGGAAATGAAGAACATAAATAAAATAAAGAAATCATAAATTTAGTATTCTGTGTTTAAATGATACTATAAAAATTAGAGTTGAAGTATTAAAATGGAACAAGGCTAAGTTAGCATGACAAAAAAAAAAAATGGGAGCAAGTTAGAGGAGTTGTGTATGTGTTTTTAATTGGTTTTTGTGTCATGTCATGACATGTGAAGTACATACATCCACTTTGTTGATTATTTGGAAAGAAGCGTCAAATGGAACATAAAAATTGGAATTGAAGGGTTAAAATAGAACAAGGTTGAGTTGAAGTGTCAAATTGAAAATTAGGAACAAGTTTAAGGGTCTCCATATATATTTGGCCTTAAAAAATCAACTCATTCAAAGAAAACATTTTTCATGATAAGTATTCTGCTTCGTGCCAAACACTAAAATAAATTTGTAAACGACTACAAAACCAAATCTCTCACTGCTATTATTTTGAAAAGAAAAAAAGATAAAGAAAAGCAGACAACTTATGACCCACTTTCCCCAATAACGAACCTCATCAATATTGGGATGTCTGGTTCCCATTTGCCTAAAATCTCACTCATTCTCCTCCACATATATATATTATTCTCTTCAATGAAAAGAACAAACGTATCTTCACATCCCAGTTTTCCATATCAAAGATCACATACTTTAATATTTTGTCTCACCTTGCAACGTATCGTTTGAATCAAATTCTTGAAATTGACTCTGTGGCATCATCACCTTGTTTCATAAACAAAAAAAATGGATTACTACGAGCAAGCTAAATAATACCCCCTCCGTTCACTTTTACTAGTTCACGATCAACTTTGCACACCCCTTAAAAGAATAATAAATGAAGTGCATATGGATCATGATACCCATATTAATTGATCACGCCTATAAATGAAAAACAATTAAGTAGCACTGAAGAAATGAATACCAGAGCCATCTGTAGACGACCAACATTAATCTGCAAATCAAGGAAATTAAATTGTGTTTTTCACAATATCGCGCAGTTTAGAAAGGCTGTAAAATCTACTATATTGCAGTCTTTTACCAAGTCTTAAGAGATACAAAATTAAGTATAATAATTATTACAGTCTTGACATGATTCAATGACACAGAAATATTTTGATGTAAGCAGAGCAACAGACTCCTCCGGGCCCTTAGACTCCCAACTGTGGACCGTGCTGCTCAAACACAGTATGATGGCACCCTCAATCACCGATGACTCCAACAATCTTACCTGTAAAAAAAAACACGGGAAAAAATTAAACAAAATGATCAAAATTGAAGAATATACGACAAGCCACAGAAGTAAGACCTGGACAAACTCCGGCTACGGCTCCTACTCCGGCTTGGGCTTCTGCTTGGAGTGCGTCTTTTGGGGCTACTGCTGGGAGTGCGTCTTTTGGGACTTTTGCTCAACGGTTTTGAACGCTGTAATTAACCGAGTCATAATACAAATTAATAGTTATGTAGACAAAGGAAAGAGAGAATACAAAAGGCCAGATAAGCACAAAAAAGAGAGGACATAGAAAGACAAAACGGATGATCCCAATATGTTTGAATTTTGAGGTATTCCATTTACTTCAAAACATAGATTTGACTTACAGCTGGTGCTGGCGATCTGGACCTTGATGGAGATCTGCAAAATTTCCAGAAAGAACTTAATTTAATATCCCAGTACCGCCACTTAACAAGTTTCCTCCACAACTGCTTTGATTTCACTTCCACCTCAGCATGACCATAATGAAAGTAGCAATTTGGCAGAATCCATAGTGGAAAATATGGCAAGTATAAAGCAATGCAAGTTACACCATTAAGACTACGTAATATTTTAAATTTGTGCAGTCACAGAGACCAATTAGCAGGATACCAAAAGAAT